AAAAAGGAATGAGAAAAATGAATTCACACGATATAAAGCCCGACTTGTTGCACAAGATTTTTCTCAAAGACCTGGAGTTGATTATGAAGAAACATATTCTCCAGTCATGGACGCAATTACATTTAGGTACTTAATGAGCCTAGCGGCTTTTAATAATTTAGAAATGTATCTTATGGATGAAGTGACAGCATATTTATACGGATCATTGAATAATGATATTTCTATAAAAATCCCAGAAAGATTTAAAGTCCCGGAGGCATTAGACTCAAAGTCTAATGAAATATGTGCGGTCAAATTACAGCTATCACTTTAGGGATTAAAACAATCTGGACGCATGTGGTATTATCGTTTAAGCGATTATTTATTAAATAAAGGGTATGTTCATAATGAAATTTGTCCCTGCGTCTTTATTAAGAAATCTTCATCAGGATTTGTGATCATTGTTGTATATGTTGATGACGTAAACATAATTGGAACTTAAAAGGAGATTGATGATGCAAGAACTCATGTGAAAGAAGAGTTCGAAATGAAAGATCTTGAAAAGACAAAATTTTTTCTCGGACTCCAAATAGAACATTTCCAAATGGAATATTCGTACATCAATCAAATTATACCAAAAAAATCATTATGCGTTTTTATATGGATAAAACGCATCCTTTGAGTACTCCAATGGTCAATAGGTCTCTGAATGTTGATAATGATCCATTCAGACCTTGTCAAGATAATGAATAAATACTTGGTCCAGAAGTACCTTATATGAGTGCTATCGGTGGACTTATGTATCTTGCAAATTGCACTCGGCCGGTTATTGCATTTGGCACTAATCTACTTGCAAGATACAACTCATCCCCTACCCACAGACATTGGAATGGGATAAAACACATCTTCCAGTATCTTCACGGTACGATTGACCGAGGATTATTCTATCCTAGAAACTCTGCGTTTCGTCTAGTTGGTTTTGCAGATATAGGATATTTATCGGATCCACATAAATTCAATCCCAAACTGGATACGTTTTCACAATTGGAGGAACTGCAATCTCGTGGCGTTTTCAGAAATAGAGTTTAGTTGCCACCTCTTCAAACCATGCAGAAATGATTGCGCTTCATGAAGCATGCAGAGAATGTTTATGGCTCAGATCTATGACCAACCACATACAAAAAGCAAGTGGAATAGTCACCATTACAGAGCCAACAACATTATTCGAAGACAATGCTCCATGCGTCGCCCAAATCAAAGAAGTTTATATCAAGAGAGACATAATGAAGCATATCCCTCCAAGGTTTTTATCCTACACTCAAGAATTCGAGAAAAACAATGAAGTTGATATCCAATATATCCGCTTAAGTGACAAGGCAGCAGACCTGTTTACAAAGGCGCTTCCTACGTCAACATTCAGAAAACATATTCACAGTATTGTAATGCGTCATTTATGAGACCCATGAAGATAAGATTATACTTATCTTTTCAGAGGGAGTTCGGTTTCCTGTACTCTTTTTTTATGTCATGGTTTTTATCCAAATGAGTTTTTCCATGATAAGGTTTTTAACGAGGCAGTACGCAATACGTTAATAATAATAGATAATAAAGGGGAAGTGTTGTAAAATAATAATTATTCATTAGGGATAGTTATCTTTTATTGTCCCTTATCCATTATTAATATTATTTACTTAACAAATAAGTTACTTAATCATCAAGCTATTGTAACTTGATCATCAAGCTATTCTAACCTATATATATGTTAGACGTTGGGCCAAAGTAATAATAAAATGAAGTGTTGATCTCTCTTGTAACACCCCAGTTTCAGGAATATGGTTGTGCATGCGGAGAGCTTTAAAAGAATTGATTTGGCCACCTATGCCACTAAAGTGCACTTATCTTTTCGGTCAACCGTCCTGAGAGAACTCCACAGTTAAGGGTGCTTGAGCTGGAGTAGTTTAAGGATGCGTGACCTTCCGGGAAGTGATTGCCGGAACTGTGTGAGTGAGGACAAAACACAGGGAAAGATCATGTGGTGATTTCTAGGGTCGATAACAAGTCTTTAAAGCCTCCCGGACATAGCTAACCAGCCGTCGGACAGGGGTGGAACCAGGGGCCCGAGAGAAGACGTGGGGCCCACTAGTAGGGGCGGTCGGGGCGTTACAAGTGGTATCAGAGCCGAACCCAGATGACTGTGGAGTCAAGAGGGCTCACACCGTAGGGGGTGACGGTCTTGGTGCGCAACGAGGACGTTGCGATCAGTTAGTGGGGGTGAAATGTAACACCCCAGTTTCTGGAATATGGTAGTGCATGCGGAGAGGTTTAAAAGAATTGATTTGGCCACCTATGTCACCAAGGTGCACTTATCTTTTCGGTCAACCGTCCTGAGAGAACTCCTCAGTTAAGGGTGCTTGAGCTGGAGTAGTTTAAGGATGGGTGACCTTCCGGAAAGTGATTGCGGAACTGTGTGAGTGAGGACAAAACACAGGGAAAGATCATGTAGTGATTTGTAGGGTCAGTAACAAGTCTTTAAAGCCTCCCGGACGTAGCAGACCGGCCGTCGGACAGGGGTGGACCCATGGGCCCGAGAGAGGACATGGGGCCCACTGGTAGGGGCAGTCGAATTGTAACACCCCAGTTTCAGGAATATGGTGGTGCATGCGGAGAGGTTTAAACGAATTGATTTGGCTACCTATGTCACCAAGGTGCACTTATCTTTTCGGTCAACCGTCCTGAGAGAACTCCACAGTTAAGGTTGCTTGAGCTGGAGTAGTTTAAGGATGGGTAACCTTTTGGGAAGTGATTGCCAAAACTGTGTGAGTGAGGACAAAACACAGGAAAAGATCATGTGGTGATTTGTAGGGTCGGTAACAAGTCTTTAAAGCCTCCCGGACGTAGCGGACCGGCCGTCGGACAGGTGTGGACCCATGGGCCCAAGAGAGGACGTGGAGCCCACTGGTAGGGGCGTTACAAGTGGTATCAGAGCCGAACCCAGACGACTGTGGAGTCAAGAGGGCTCACACCATAGAAGGTGACGGTCTTGGTGCGCAACGAGGACGTTGCGATCAGTTAGTGGGGGTGAATTGTAACACCCCAGTTTCAAAAATATGGTGCATGCGGAGATGTTTAAAGAATTGATTTGGCCACCTATGTCACCAAGGTGCACTTATCTTTTTGGTCAACCGTCCTGAGAGAACTCCACAGTTAAGGGTGCTTGAGCTCGAGTAGTTAAAGGATGGGTGAACTTCCGGGAAGTGATTGCTGGAACTGGGTGAGTGAGGACAAAAAACAGGGAAAGATCATGTGGTGATTTGTAGGGTCGGTAACTAGTCTTTAAAGCCTCCCGAACGTATTGGACCGGT